TTTAACTCTAATATCATATGCCGATTCATGTTAGTCGATCCCAAAAAATTGTGTTGTTGTTGTACCCTTTTTAGATGTTGTTGTTGTACCCCTTCTTTTAAGCAATCACACTCCAATTAAAAACATACTAAGTCAATGGACTACCCTCCTATAAAATTGTGTTTTTGGGTTGAAAATATGATATGAGAGCCAATTCATTTAAATGCGCGATTGATTTAAGTTAAAAGAAGAGCACAATTTACAAGATTGATTTGCTCCAACAATTTTAACTTATTGCAGGGCCATGTACCCCCATCCCCATGTCAAGTGGTCCAACATCCGGCCAATTATATAGATATAAACTCATATAGTCATATATAGGTTATTTGATTAAAATAACCTATATATTTTTTTAGGTTTTGTGTGGATGGGTTTTGAGGGCTAGTCTATACTCTATACATCTTGATATTTGAAAAAATTTAAAGTCTAACATAATATGCAATCTCATTACATTTCTATCACCGTTTACTCATCTCGAGAATTATTCTTTTCGTCAATGTTGTCATGTAGACTAGACTTGTTATGTTGTTACTCATCTTTGGGTTAATTAGTCCCATCCATTAATTTAATTGTTCAGGCCTATCATTCATTTAATAGATTCATACAGTGACTACTCAGTTTAATAATAGATAGTCTTATTCATGTAGAGGTTGAACTGTTATGATATTATCCATGACCTTGTTGAATAATCATCTTAAGGTATTGATAATATCGCCGCTAAGATCATAGACATTATTTATTTTATTAGTATTACAAAAATGGATTAGAAATTACAAACTGCCAAGTTTATTTCACATTGTGCCCCTTATTGTTGACATAATAAAAAAAAGAGTTATGCTCCATCATCACATTATTTAACACATCACATCACATTTACAACACTTTTACATCAATGGTAATTAAAATAGCCACATCACTTGTTTGTAAGTTTTTTTGTAAGTGTGTTTGTACTTCTAGCATTTTTCTAAAAAAAAATGGTTTCTAATATGATATTTTTTTAGGTTCCGTTCGAGAGTATTATTACTCAAACCAAAATCAGAAAAAGGCTCTTTAACAGCTCAAATGGAGACCGAATCTTCAGCATCAGCGGAGATTGCCTTGTTGGGAAGCCCACAGCCCGATAATGTGTTGGTTCAGTACATCGTGTTGAGGAGAGACCTGATTGACACATGGCCTCTTGGGAGCATCATCACTCAAGGCTGCCATGCTTCAGTTGCTGCAATCTGGTCCCACAAGACAGATCCACACACGGTCGAGTACTGTGATCCTATCAACCTTGACTGTATGCACAAAGTGACTCTTGAAGTTAAAGGTGAAGCCCAGATTGTGAGCTTGTCTGAGAAACTTAAAGTAGCCAGTATTGCTCATAAGTTGTGGATTGAACAACCCGAGAATATGCCTACCTGTCTTGCCACAAAACCCTATCCAAAATCACTTGTATCGCCCTTCTTCAGAAAGTTAAAGCTCTGTAGGTGAGAACAACCTCATGCTAGTTTCGTGAATGCCATTAGACATAGCCCACTGTGTATTTTATGGCTGTTCTTTTATAGATTTATTGTGCAATGTTCTGTCATTTGAGTTAGGCTCTGTTTGGCTGGTTCAGGTGTATTTATTTGGTTGCAATCGATTGTACCAAATGTTTTCCTCTTTGGAAATACAATAGATTCAGACATTCAGTTCTTTCTTCCAGTGCCAATTAACCCTTTCCAACCCTCTGTCAGACTTTATATCTACACGCTGATCAATGAAGAGATTTATTTACTTAGCAATCCATATTGGAAACATAGAAAGTATGCTGTGTTCATCTTTGTGTCTTTTTATACTAAATGCAATAAAATACAAAGATGATGTGGTGAAGGTGAATAAAAAGGTTTTGTCTGTGAGCAACTTCCTATGATAAGTGCACTGGCTATAGAGTTCATTAACTTGTGCATATAAGACTCCACCCGGTGTTTGTAAGCGTTAGAGTGTTGATCGTAGGGGTGGACTCGGGCCGGGCCAACCGGCCCGGAATCGGACCGGCCCGCTACTGTGCGGGCCCGGACCGGCCCGGTGAACCGGTCGGTTGGCCGGTTCGGGCCACCCGGCCTGGTGGGATCTCGGTTCGGGCTCGGACCCTTCAAAAGGTGAACCGGCCCGGCCGGTTCGGGCCCGGGCTGGGCCATTTTTTTTTTAATTTTTTTTAAGTTTTTAGGTTGGGCTGGGTATTTTGGGCCATTTGAGGTGGTTAGGGTTGGTTTGGGGGTGAAGGGGAGGGTTGGGGGTTAACTAGGAAAAGCCCAAAAAAAAAAACCGAGACCCGGCCTGGCCCGGACCCGGGGGTTACCCGGGCCGGTTCCGGGCCTCCCATACCTTGAACCGAGGCCCGACCGGTTCAAGGCCCGAACCGGGCCTGGCTCGAACCGAGTCCATCCCTAGTTGATCGTACCTCTTTTGTTGATGTCCTTGGAAACCCAAGACGTTGACTTATTCTTCTTGGAGATCGGGTAGGAATCGATTGGATGTCCGGGCAATGTGCAAATGCTACATGCTTTCACTTTTTGAGTTTTTGACCCCAAGATAAACTCTTTTATGAGTGATGTCAAGCTTGCAACTTGATTTTCCAAAGTGGATATGCTAGATTCTGCCGCAAGAATTCTTCGGGTTGAGAACCGCCCATTGTAATCCCTAGAATTCTCGGCCAAGTCTGAGATGAGACTCCTAGCTTGTGAAGGGGTTTTATTAACAATCCCCCCTCCACACACCGCATTCACCATGTGTCTATCTTTGTTCGCAAGACCATCATAGAAGTAGAGAATGAGGTCTTGCTTCGTGTACCCATGGTATGGGTAACTAGCATATAACTTTTTGAATCGCTTCCAATATTCATATAATGACTCATCATCTTTTTGCTCAATGTTGCTTATTTGTTTTTTTAAAGATGATGAGACAGAGGCGTGATAGTACCTTTCCAAGAAGTATTTCTTCATGGCCGCCCATGTGTCTATACTCCCCGAAGGAAGATAGAATAGTCAATCCTTCGCAGTGTCTTTAAGAGTGAATGGAAAAGCCCTTAATTTTATTTGTTCTTTGGTGACACCATTTGGCACATGCTTGTGCAAATAATATGGAACTGTGAGAGATGTTTATTCAGGTCCTCCCCTCTTAGACCATGGAAGAATGGATGTAGATGGATGAGCCCCAATTTTAGCTCAAATGTAGTCCTTCATCAAGTGTAGGAGAGGTAATACATAATGGTTGTTGATTGAGGTTTGGAGTTGTGAGTTCCCTTAGGGTTCTTGTCTCGAGAGCCATAGTTGATGGTTCCTCGGATTCGCTAGAGCTAGAGCTAGCGTTTGAGAGTTTCTTCGGTATAAAGTTCCTCCCACTCAGTACTTAAATTATTTTTCAACCGCTCGAAAGTTTGTTCTATTTCCGGGTTTACTTGGTAAGTGAGTTCGTTTATAGAACAGGGTTTTACCATATACTCATGTAAGCTCAGAAATAGGAAAGTAAGAACTCTTTATAGTTTTTATTAATTATAATTTTTTTATTTTTCTTGAAATAAAATAAAAGAAAATTATTGCCTTTCCCCGGCAACGGCGCCAAATTTGAAGGCACTAAAGTCGTTGTGTGCCTCAAAATAATATTCAATACTTGCACTTATACCGTAATATAACATAGTAAGGATCGTATCCACAAGGAAAGGAATATATTTCTTTTAATTAAATAGTAACAGATGGGGTTTTTAAGATTGGTTTGTTTTTATTACTTTAACACTAAGATGAACGACTTGTGTGGCTTAATAAAACAGGGATTGAGACGTGGTTTTGCTTATTTCCACTTAATGAAATGTTCGTCGATCCCGGCTATATCTTTAATTATCTTCCTCTCGAATACTCAATCGTGGAGTATCTCCAATTCATCGAGGGTAGTTATTAATAACGAGACGCATTTATTAATAAAACTTATTATGAAGTCAATATAGAACATGTGTCATATATTGACCCGATAGTAGTAATAAAACATAAGATGAAATCGATTGAGATTGATAACCTCATCACAAGTGGTTTATTGGTTTAATCAATATAATTAATTCTCTTTAGATTATTAACCATGAGATGCATGCATGCATTAATAATCCAAGTTTACTACCGTTGAAAGGATCGAATAAATAACAAGCGTATTAATCGATCGATTCTAGTAATAATTAATATATGAAACAAAACTAGTTGATCCTTTAAGTAATGCTCAAAATATTAATATGGAATATAAAATAGGAATGTAATTAATATTCAAGGAAGACGATTAAAGAAAATAACTCACAACTTACAAATCAATAAGCTTCAATGTAGCAAAACACAGATGGAAGAGTTTAGCTCTTCATTTGGAGACTAAACATACTAGAAAATATAAAGAAAATACTTGTGTAAACTGAGTTTAGAAGTATATGAGAATTGGCGATTTTATTGTGAAGGAAAAGGGGTGTATTTATAGGTGTTTGGATGTGGCAGAGTTGTGTACCTGATCGGATATATAGGGTACTCGATCGTGTTTTTAGGTAGTTTCCCGAAAAGTCACTTTTCTGAACATACCCGGTCGGGTATGTCGGCATACCCAGTCGGATATGAGCCAAATCTTCAAAATCCTACACGTTTTTTGGTCTCTCGAGATTCTGACTTTGACACCTAAATCAACTCAATACCTGATTGGGTATTGTCTATACCCAAACGAGTATATGAAATATTTTTTCAATCTTCTTTTTATCCTGTCCCATTGCACTCTCCTTGATCCTTTGAATGATCTTGACCTCTTTTAAACTTAGAATAATCCTAATCTAAACAAATTATAAGTATCTAGAAAAATAAAGTAATTACACAAAAGTGTGTAATTTCCACAACAAACAATGAAACTAATTAAAAATGCAACTATACATAATAAAAATACAACAATATCGTAGGTACTTACATTTTACAATGGTTCTTATGATCAATGTGATGTACTTCACACATCGTTCTTTAATAGTTGCAACATTGTGATTTTTACAATATTTACGCATCTTACTTTGACCATGATTTTCTACTACTAGTAATATATACGAAGTATAATCAAATTATTATGTATAAATTATTATTAAATTTTTAGTAATGTGAATTTCTGAAATATTTGCTTTTTATAATTTTCATTGATAGAATTTAAATATAATTATAGTTAAAGTTGTGAATTGATAAACATAAAAGTCAAACTATTGTAATCTATCTTAATATAAAAGCAAAAGAATTGGAGGAACAGTGTTCCCGCCTACATATGTCAACATCATGTTTATTTTTAATTTTTCATTTAAAATTATTTACAATCAATTGTGTTCACATTTTAAATAATAAAAAATAGGGTGAGACTTCTCTACTACAGTGTTGCCAGTTCAAGGCAATTGGTAGATTAAAAACTGCCTACAGTGTTTGCATTGCAATTGGTTGAGAGCTCTTCGCTACAGTGTTTTCATTAAATTCTTGCGTGTTGGGTATTCAAGAATATGCAAAGGATTTGGATCTTTGCAATCCTATTGGTTCAAATCATGTGGGCACAGTAAAAATTTCATGTGAGCATTCTTATTGGCTATTGTTGGCGGTGTGCACTGTTTACACACACATATCCTATTGTTTTATTGGTTTAATGGGGTGGTGATAACAGTGTGTTTGATTTTGTGTATCTCACTCTAATGGATGAGTTGTTCACCACTCATCTATAAAAGCATGTGTGAAGCATGAAGCTAACCATTCAGTCCGATACAAAGTGCAATAGCATAATTTTTTTCAATATTCCTTTTAAAATGGCTGGAATGTGATCAATGATAAGGGAAATTGATCAAAGCAGGGCTACTTGAGCCATAAAGGCCAGGGCTACAAGAGTGTATAGGGAACCTGCCCATGACGGTTTTCCCCCTTCTTTGGAAGTGATATTCCATGACGAAGAGGTAAATTTGATGGTTTGCCTATTTTCCTTAGTTACTTAATTGTTTCAAATGACCAGTTTGATTTTGACAGGGCTCCAAGATTCATGGACACATCCCGGATCAGTATATCGGGAAATTTTGCAGCCTATTCAGGGAGGGTAGAATTTACGCTGTGAAAAACTTTATGGTAGAAGAAAACTTCAAGTTTTTCAAAACGACTACTAGCACATACAGGCTTCGATTCTTTAAGAAAAGTGAAGGTTTCGAAATACAAATCCCTTTCCCTTTGAGGACTTTTAATTTAGTGTCCTTCGCTGCTTTACAAGCAGCAGAAACAATCGACGACAAAGTTGTTGTGGGTATGTTTTAAACTGAATAAAATAAAAGTGTATAATTAATTGTTGATCGATTAATATAAAGAGAGCGTGTGCAGATATCATTGGACAGGTCGTTCATGATAAAGATCCGAAGACAATTCTTAAAAATGACCGTCCTAAGAAGCTAATTGAGCTCATCCTAGGAGATACCGAGTTAGGCTCTTTCATAACTCAAGTCAATGCACAATCTATTTCGCTATTTTAAGTTACCCTAATTTGGAAATGTGTTTATTAAAAGGGGAAATGTGATCGGCTACACGCTCTGGGGTCCCATGGTCGAAATGTTGTTAACGTACAAGTTGTCCACGGCGGAACCCATTGTCATGCTGCTTCAATGCTACCGCGCAAAGAAATACCAGGGTAGAATACGGATTCAGTTATTTAATTTTTTTTAAATTGTTTTTGTTATGGCTTCCTAATAAAAAAAATTCAGGTCATGTTCATGTATCTAACATGTTCAACACAACCAAGGTTATTCTAAATGGGGTTGAGGACGAGTTTAACGACTTCAGATCAAGGTTTAAAATGAGTCAACAACAAAATTCTTACAACTGCGACCACATTTTGAAATGCAATGTCAATTGATGGTTTTTTAACGCAGGATGGCAAATAGGTGCGGTGAGGGTTTGAGTTTCACAATTTCCTCTTATACTTCTAATGAGGGCGATATTGGCACTGGACAGATACAACTGGTGACAATTGATCAACTCACACAAATGGAGGAGGTTTGTTTAAAACATAGAAGTGTATACTGTACTAGGGCCTTGACGCAAAATTTACTATTCTTATACTTTTTAAAGGATGGTAAACATTGGGTCTATGGAGAAATTGCGGGGATAGACAGTCACAAAGATTGTCCTATGTTTCATGCATAGGATGCAACCGCAAAGTGACACCAAATGGTGACACCTTTATTTGCTTATCTTGCAATTCATCGGATGCTGTCATGAGGTATAGAGTCACCGTAAGGGTTGTCGACAAAACTTCGCATGCTTCCTTTCTTCTCTGGGACAGAGAGGTTTCTTGCTTGATTGGACGTTCCGCTTCGTCCCTAAAAGAACAAGTATCTCAGATCGGACTATTTGTTAATATTGTTTCTGATTCCCTGCTCTCTATTTAACGACATGAACACCTAATCATCACTCCGTTGTGTAGAGAAACTTTGGATCACATTACTTCCCTGCAGAAATCAATGCCTTGATTGACATTAAGGCGTTGTTCCGCGTTCAATGCAAGAAGGACAACATGGACTATAAGGGTAATCAGAATTTCAGTGTGCTAAGGATGAATACAGACCCTAAAGTAATTTCACTCTATACTCCTGACTCAAGTGCACCAGAGGTTCGTTGTCTCACTTATGGGATGTGGTTTTGGGAGACTTAGGTTAAAATAACGTATAACATTACCGGTTATCTCAATATAAACAGGAGGAGGATGAGTTCACCATGTTGAAGAAAGAGTTTTCAGTGGCCGAAAAGGTGCAAGCATTCTTTTTTCTGCATGTTGATTTAAAATCGAGAATTGTTTCTCTGTAAACTGAAATTGAATTTATGTAATTCAGGTTGGTTCTTAACATCAGGTGATTTCGAATAGCCCATTACTGAACAAAGACAAAAGGATTGCACTTGAGGTTGATGCAAACAAGGTGAAGAGGGATCTTTTTGGAGAATTTTCGTCTACCGTGGCAAAGAAAAGGATTAAAGGGATCAAGATTGAGGAGCCTAAAGATTGAATTTGTTCCCAGGGTTTATTGGTGTTTATAATTATGTCGTCTAGATCTCTAAATTTCATAGGGTAATAATGTAGTATCTTGGGACTGGCCGTACGAGAACTAAATCTTAGAAGACTAAAAGCTGCAGTATCTAAAGTCAGTGTCTTCTAAGTGTTTTGGATTTTGTGTTTTGTTATTGGTTCACACATTTATACCTAAAGTGTGCTCTCCATGTAACCTAAGTACTACAATTTTAATAAAGTAAGCCCAATGTTATGTTTGATATTTATGTTGGGAACATGAACGGTTAGTTCATATTGGACATGGATTAAAACTCTATTAACTAGCATTTGTTACTTCTGTTACCAGGAAGAAGGTAGTGCTCTTCAAGTTTGATACTTAAAGAACATACCGCTCTATTTTTGTGGTACACAAATCTGAGCTATTTGTCAAAAATGAAAAGGTACGAAATCTTATTGGACATAGTTTAAAACTACACACAAGGAAAAATACTTACAGAGACCTGAATGGGAAAAATACTTATACTGACTATACTTCGTAAAAAATGTTGACTATATGTATTTTGTAAAAAATAATTTCACATCAAAAACACTTGAAAGACTGCAAATGGTTTGACACTTTCACTAAATCAAAGTGTAGAGAAATACGAACTGTATGTTACGTATTCAGAAATTTCTAACAAATTTTGAGGGAACTTTTTCAGCAGAATCAAGTGTGATTGGAAAATGTCATGAGATATCACTGCATCAATTGTAAAATAAATTTTGGATCTGCACTATATTCCCTAAGTCAAAACCCATACAAATCCAAATCAATGGGGTTACCTATTAAAAACTGCCAAGAATTGATTTTGATAAGTTTTGGCAGAAGCATTTTAGTTCGGAAATTCAGATTCAGCTCTTATTGGGACCAGATCAAAATAGAAAATCAAAGTGAACAATTGGTTGAGTGTTGGTTTTTTAAAAATAGACAGTCTAAGTTTGCCTACCAAACAAGGAACGTAGAGGTTATATTTACTTTAAAAAATTATTTTTAAGAATAAACCTATAAAAATCCAATACATTGTAACCTTTTCATTAATGGGTAACACTTTTGTGACCACATTTTCAACGGATTGAGGTTTAATCGTAAGGCATTCAATAATTCGAAATATAGAAAGGAATATGGGTACCATTTAAGTTTTATATTTTTTTACTCAATATATGTTTGAAGAGTTATATCATGCCAAATTGGTTACAGACAAATGTTCATGTAACACAGGTTGTTACAGATAAGAAATTCTATAACAACTCAAAATCATGATACTTATTCAATTCGAAATATTGAATATGGGAACTCTTCAAAACAGTTCTCTGATAGTTATACGTGGAAGGGTATAACAGCAGTGACAGGTAATTAAAACCAAAGCAGTGTGTAGATAAAGGTACTTGGGTTCAGGTATTTCTACGTATCATAACTATACGAAAATCACAGTTGTCAAAAGGTCGAAGTTTAGTGTCCCATTATTGTCTGACTCTATCAAACACAACTCAGGCTGTATAACGCGTTAATTTTATTGTCAGTGAAAGTAAAAATAAAAGTTTTCTATTCTCGATGTGTGTTACAAGAGTTTTTGAATCTGTAAAAAAGATCCCTATTAGGTGCCTACTTAACAAGTATCTTATATTGGACATATGCATTGTTGGGAAAAATCATTGCGTGAGTGACCATAAAATGTTCTTCAAATAGGTTGTTTCTTATGTTTGTGCAAAATATGGTAACACGCAAAATTAAGTACAGTAATGTTAGAAAGGGGATAACTATATTACCAGTGGGTTTACTTTGGAGAACAAATAATTATACACATCCATATTTGCTTTGTCATCCTGCATGCATAAACAATTGTTGACCTACTTTATTAGAACATATTTTTCAAAATTGAAAATAACAGTATACATGATTTAGTGTTGACTTAAAGCATGATGCACTTTTCTAAAATATTATTCAGATTAAAATCTGTAACAAATCTAAATCATGATACATATTGGATTGGAAAGATTGAATATGGGAACTACTCAAAATAGTTGTCTGATAGGTATACGTATATGGGTTTAACAGTAGTGATAAGTAATTAAAACCAAAGCGTGTTTAGGAATCTCAGTGGACATAGTTTAGAGCCAATGTAAAAATAAGTGTATAGAGGGTTTAGTGTAGACCTGTGATTATATTCTCCAGCTTCTGTGATTAATAAGTTTCAACCTTTGCGTCATATGCCACCACAATTTCCAAGCGTGCCATTTTATTATGAAATAGAAAAGTAAATGTTAATTGTCGGAATAAAATTGTCGAAATAAAACTCAATAAATGCAGTTTATAAACATACATTTGTTTAGAGAAATAAATAGTAGATGTATTTTTTTAAAAATAAATTGACTTCATAAAATGTTTTACTGACTGCAAATAGGTTGCCTTAATAAAATGCTAGATAAATACAAACAAAATGTTATGTATTCCGAAATAGCTAACAGATTTTGAACACAGCTTTTCACAGAATCAAGTAAGATTGGAAAATCTAAGCACATATCTATGCTGCAATGGTAAAATAGATTTTGGAACTGCAGTATGTTCCCTAACTCAAAACCTATGGAAATCCCAAACAAGCAGTTTACTTTTAAAAAATGTTTAAAAATTTTCTTTACCAACTTTTAGCAGAATCATATAATTTTTTTAATTCAGATTTGACTCTAATTGGAACCAGATCAAATAAGAAAATCCAGGTAACCCTTGGGGGGTGTTGCTTGGTTTAAAAAATATAGAGTTCAAGTTTGGCTTCCAAACCAGGATCATTTAGAGTATATATTTTTTAAAAATGTGTTTTTATAATAAAACCTATACGAATTCAATACATATTATTTCACAGATTGTTACAAAGAAAAAATATATGTAATAACTGAAAATCATGATACATATTCAATTGGAAAGATTAAATATGGTAACTACTAATAACATTTGTCTGATAGGGATACTAATAAGGTTGTAACAGCAGTGATAAGTGATTAAAACCAAAGTGATTTATTGATCTTATTTGACATAGTTTCAACCAAATGTAAAAATAACAGTGTAGAGATAGTGTTGACCTATAATTTATCTTCAGATCATGTGATTATAAATTTTCAACCTTTGCGGAATAAGTTACCACAATTTCCTCCCCTGCCATTTTATGAAATAGAATAGTAGATGTTAATAGTTGGAATAAAATTAACCAAAATAGATATTAACAGGTGTAGTTTAGAAAAATTTATAAAAGGTTCATACCGTGTACGCATCAGCATGCAGACTCACTTTGAGCCGTTCTCCTCGAAATTGCATTGATTGATTTTAGTTTCTTCCCATTGAATGCTTCTTTCTTTATCCATGGATAAAGAAAGAAGTTGTTCTTCCTTCCCTTCGTGTTTTATTTGGTGTGTTTGGGTGGTTTATTTGGATCTTTGTGGTTGTGTAGATGTGGGTGGCCGTTTATTCGAATCAATAAAAGATGTATGCAACAGTGTTTTGTTTTTTTAAAAGATAAGGGTGTGATTCGTAGGTGGAATTATTAAAGTGAGTGGTTGGAGTAGATAAGGATGTGTTAGAAATTATTAACGTGTCGTTGTGAGGTGTGGAATAAACTAATTTAAAAAACTAGACCTGCATTAAAATGAATTGGAAAATTTGGTGGGCTAAATGGTAAGAGCCTCTTATTATTAAAAACCACTCGAATACAAAAAAAATGGTTAAATTATACTACGTGATATATAATTAATTATTTGAAAAGTTTTATTCAGTAGAGGTATCTCGATTTTTCACAAAGACAAAAGGTAAATTAAAATTTAAGGAATATGGGCCCTGTATTATGAAGAAATGAATGTTTTTAATATAAATTTAAATTAAGAAAAATACTCCCTATTATTTACGACTATGTTATTAAAAAGATATATTTAAGGTAAATAAACTAATTTAAAAAACCAGACCTGCAGTAAAATGAATTGGAAAATTCGGTGGGCTAAATGGTATGAGTCTCTTATTATTAAAAACCTACTGGAATACAAAATATTTGGGGAAAATGTATTTTGGATTAATAAAATAGGGAAAATGGTTTTTATTAAATAAATTTGCTGATATTTTGGCTGTATGGGTGACGTCGATTTAGATTTGTGGACAAAATAACATAATGTAAAAAGTAAATCCCGGATATGCTAAAACGTTTTAAGAAATACGAACAAATGAAAATCCTTTTTGATTTAAACTTCGGATTCTGAAGATCTATGCGTTGTATATTTTTTCCAATTTGTCCTTTGTTTTAATGGTCCTTTTCCCCACATATTAAGAAGAGGACTGAATGGTAATTGGTAGATCTACAAGAAATCTCGATAACAATGAAAAAAATGACAGGTCTACTATCTAGCAGATTTGTATGGTTGTTTGTGTTGGGTGTGTTCCGGAAAATAAAGGAAATTAATTAAAATAAATTAATTAATTAAATAAAATGACTAGAGAAAAACAAGAAAGGGGATGAAGCAGAATTAGTCAAAGCTCGTGCTACGCACGATGTCCTTAAAACGTATTTGTTGCCTCCCACGGTGCTAGGAGCGTTGCAACAATCGTTTCCCAGGATACGATGACTACGAACTAATGTTTCAGCGCACAAACAAGAGTTCCAACGAACGAGAACCAAGTATGAACACAGAAGGAATTTGCAGAGTAGCTGTAGGTGTTTTTAGCTTAAGAAATTCGTGAGGAATGTATTGTGCGTTGTGTCTTTTTGCAAACCACCTGCCAGCTATTTATAGGAGGATTTGTTGTGTGTTGAATGGGGTGTTAATGGACCTGAACGTTGGACATCAATGACCAGTCCGTTGGGCATTGAATCGTCCATAAACTGTCCATTTAACGCAGCATTAAAAGAGAAGAACGTTGGGCATTTATTGCTGTAACGGACCAGAAGACCTTTTGTTGCGAACAGAAGGCCTCGAGCATTTTTTTTTTGCGAACAGAAGGCCTCGAGGGTCTCTGTTGCGAACAGAAGACCTCGAGCGTCTCTGTTGCGAACAGAAGACCTCGAGGGTTTCTGTTGCAAACAGAAGACCTCGAGCGTCTCTGTTGCGAACAGAAGACCTCGAGGGTTTCTGTTGCGAACAGAACTCGACCCCTTCTGTCACTGGGAAAAATAAAACGTTACGGGAAGAAATAAAAATTAGACCGTTTCTTTGAATGATAGATTTTCGGACGACATTCGAGTTCGCAGGTCGCCCGCGCACACGAGTCGCGGTTTTTCTTCTCCGTTTCGGGATTTGATCGGCACCCCCCTGCGCGTAAGAGAGAGCCTTTACCTTTAGGAATCTTAACTCCTTAAAAGAGGCTTCCCTTTATAAGGGGGTGAAAATCCCTTGAGTTTTCCGATGTGGGATAAAACACACTAGAAACTCATCATTTTCCCAGTTTTTCCATTTCAACGAGTGAACTTCAAGAATCAATTTCTC